ATGCACCCCAAATATACAACACAAGCAGATTGATATTCCCTTATTGCACTTATTCATTTATTGCTTTTGTTAATCTCAGTAACGGCTGATGGATTAAACCTATTTTTTTTTTATCTGTTTGTTCTTGTCCCAATGATGTATTATGGCACTACATTTAGTTAGACCTATACAGAGAAAAAATGTCAACATTTAGCCACTTTAACTCAGTTTTGTACATTCAGGCATCACAGTGAAGTTGAACCAAACTGGGACTTTCATACATTATGCTGTGTCTGCTGTAAAACTCTTTAAAGAGAAGCTGACAGAGTCGACTGTCTACTTGTCAGTTCCACTGTCTCACATAATGTTCCGCTTGGGCGAATCTTTGCCAGCAAGGACAGAATATTTTCTTCTTCCTTTCACAAGATTTGCAAAAAAAAAAAAAAAAAAAAAAGAGGTGCGACCTTGATCTAGTCACAAGATTTAGTTTATTTATATATATCGGAGAGAAAGACAGTAGGTTGGTGGTGGCACAGCAGTAGGTCGGAAATGAGTTAATTAGTGGCTGAAAGAAAGTGGTGTGAGAAGTCACTCTATCCTTTTATTTGAAGCGAACTAAGAAGCTTTCAGCACAGTGTGCACTCAGGATCGAGAGGCTTGTCCTGTCTGAAGCTAATTCAAGCACGGCAGAGTCTTCAAATGGCATACAGCAGTCTTGTTACGTAGCTGAAGTCGGTACATGACTAATTAATGAACAGTTACTGTGGTAATAGCTTAGAGACTTTATAGAAGGCAAAAGTCCAGCACTGAAATGTCCCAAAGCTTTGAAATGTAGGTGTTTGGTGAGTTTCTCAACACATGAGGACTTAATAACCTTATCCTTTCACTGAATGACCAGCACATCGCTTACACATTCCCTTTGTTTGGTAACCGATTTGCACCTAACTAAAACCTGATGACCATCAAAAACCTACATGGAGGTTTGCCAGGTCGCTGTGGGATCAAGCAGCCGACACTGGGAGCGACACAAATTGATTGTGTAATAATTTTCAGTGTTGACTGGGGCCCCACATGGCAGCCCATTGACTCGCGGCACCACACAGATGTCTCGTTTTTCAGCCGTCTCGTCAACAGAGAGGAGCCTCACCACATGGCCGAAGAGGGCCATTAAAAAGTTGGTCAAATAATCACACGGAAGTTGTAAAAACTGCAACAAACATCTGCCAATTTCTTCTCGAAAAAGAGTTTTCAGCTGCTCGCTGCCGTAACTGTACATACATAATGGATTCTGACATGGTCCAAAACAAATAAGAACTAAACTGCAGGTGAAGCAGCACATCGACAAACACACCAGTGTTTTATAAGAGTGAAATGATGTTTGAGTCACGAGCTGACGTTTTCTACTGGGAAATTAAGAGTAGGTGGGATTACCTGATCACGTGAAATATGGCTGACAGGATGAGCTCATTGTGAACAGCAAAGGCCATGTATCGAGGTTCGTGGAAAGCCGACGGCACGGTCCTGACTGCGTAACAAAGGTACACTGCCCACAGAAGGAAAAGGAACTCCGCTGCAAAATGAAAGGATGAAAATAATGATCAGTATCCAAACAAAACAAAAACAATGTTTCTATCTGCGGATTTGAACCACAACCATCCAGCCAGATTCACAGTTCAAGGAGTTCGGATCATTAATGGAAGGGTAGCTCAGACATACGGGAAAATGCTCTTTTCAACACAAACATAGTGCATGTAACAGCTGTGCTTGTATTCTCATAACAATAAATGAGTCCCCGTGCACCTCTGTGGCAGCTCAAGGTGATGTTTCTAAGGTATCCAGCTTCACGGAGGTAAACAACCTGCTGGAACCACATGCTTTGGAAAATCAAGTTCATGTAGGATTTATTGTCATTTACATCACATGTGGAACAAAATTGTGTACACAGAGCCCCAGATACATACAGCAATAGCAAAAATATAAATTGTAAAAAGAAATAGTAACTAAGGATCTAAGATATACATTAAGAAATATGCTAAACACTTAGTGTAAAACAATACACCGAAGAACAGCAGCACAAACATGAATCTGTGAGTAGATGAATACGAATCAAATACAGCAGCATGCGATTAGCAGCATGAATAATCAGCAGCATGAGATCAGCAGCATGGATAATCAGCAGCACATATAATACTTCTGGTAAGATGGTGCCCGTGTGCATCGCTTGCAATCCACCTCTGCTGATGGTGTTCAGATTATTTGTGTTTTGTTCGTTTTTTATCTGGGACATAAACTCGCTGCTGGTGTATGACCGACAACAGCTTCTGGATCTTCATTTTTCTTCTGCCGATGTCGCTTATTTGGACCAATATCACAAACGATGCATCACAAACAATGATGAGTCCAGCTACAGGCAGGAGGTGGAACACCTGGAGAGCTGGTGCAGAGAGAATAACCTTCACATCAATGTGAAGAAGACAAAGGAGATGATTGTGGACTTCAGAAGGAACAAAAACACCTACACCCCCCTGAACATAAGAGGATCTGCGGTGGAAGTGGTCTCCAGCTACAAGTACTTGGGTGTACACATGAATGACAACCTCAGCTGGAGCAACAACACCACCAGCCTGATCAAGAAAGCTCATCAGAGACTCTACTTCCTCAGACGGCTGAGGCGAGCTGGTCTGGGAAGCTCAGTCCTCACCTCCTTCTACAGGTGTGCAGTGGAGAGCATCCTGTGCTCGAGCATCAATGTGTGGCATGGAGGCTGCACAGCTGCAGAAAGAAAAGCTTTGCAGAGAGTGGTGAAGGCTGCACAGAAATCTGTCGGAATCAGTCTCCCCACCATCACAGACATCTACACCTCCAGATGCAGGAAGAGGGCCACCTGCATCATGAAGGACCCCACCCACCCAGCACACACACTTTTTGCCCCACTCCCCTCAGGAAGGAGGTTAAGGAGCATTAAGTGTAGAACCACTAGACTGAGGAACAGCTTCTACCCTGAGGCTGTTAGACTCATGAATCTCTAACTAGAATAATCACTGTGAAAAACCATATCATGTTGCTGCTGATCTGTTTCATGTTGCTGCTGATCTGTTTCAATGTTGATGTGTTCATGCGTGCACATCTGCTCACAGACTCATGTTCATGTTTGTGGTGATGTTCAATGTTTTATGTTATGAGTGCTTAGTGTATATTTAGTTGATGTTTTTCTTAGTTCATATCTTAGATGTTATTACTGTTTTTCTTATACATTTTATTGTTGGATGTAACTGGGACCTTGTGTACATAATTTCGCTCCACCACATGTACCACATGAGGTGCGAATGACAATAAAGAAACTCTGACTGACTCTGACAATATGAGCGTACCTCTGGACACCCCTTCCTCCCCCCGCTGGCGAACATGCCTGTTTACCTCCGCTGCACTCCTCACCTCCCTGCCCGGACATATCGCTATAGACGCTGGGGAAAACGTGCTGGGCAGCTGGTAAAGCTTAAAGCCCTGCGCGCTGCATCTTCCTCTTCAGCTGGTGGTCAGGGTTTCCATCGCCAGCTTCCCGCGTGCCCGGACCAGGTAAACAACGGAGGGGCTGTTACTGAAAATCTGCGGCCATTGGCGAGTGCAAACTCCACCGCTGCTGGATCCACTTTGGACAGTATCCGGATGTGTTTGGTCAACGCAAGATCTGTTACCAACAAAACTTTTATCCTCAGGGACTACTTTCTAGAGCATGATTTGGACTTTCTCTGCATCACAGAGACTTGGATGTCTCCGGGTGAGTCCAGCACCTTGACGGAATTATTGCCACCGGACCGTCTGTATTTTAACGTACTGTGGCCATCAGGCCGGCGCGATGTTGGATTATTAACAATATTCAAACCAACTTTTGACTGTAAACAACTGCCCATCCCAGTTTCCCGCGCCAGATTTGAGCTGAGCATCTTTGAACTCGGCCATTCGCCTTCGACTTTATGTGCGCTGGTCTACCGCCCACCTTGGTCTAAGGATTTCATAAATGAGTTTTCTGATTTCTTGGCTGAAATCACACCAAAATATAATCATGTTTTCATTGTTGGAGACTTTAATTTGCATGTGTGCTGTCCTGAGAAGCCCTTGGTTAAGGACATTTTAGATTTATTGGACTCATTTAATCTAACTCAGCATGTAAACGGTCCCACCCAAGAGCGCGGACATACACTGGACCTTGTTTTAACTCGTGATGTGACTGTTAGTAATCTTGAAATTGGTGATAATGATTTTTCAGACCACATGCCAGTCCGGTTTGAATTCACCCTCCCCCATCTAACTCCTAAGCCGTGCATTCCTGCACGTAGTAGCCTGGCCATTAACCACTTCACTGCCACACGTTTCAGAGATGCTTAAAACTCTGAAATGATCATTCAGCCCCCGGTGTGTCTCACCACCACGGAGGCGCTGACATCCCAGTTCAACTCTGTCTGCTTAAAGACTCTGGATCATGTTGCTCCTGTTAAAATTTAAAAAATCAAAACTCAGAGCAGAACCTTGGCTGAGTGACGTCACCAAGGCCGTTAGGCAGCAATGTAGGAGGGCGGAGCGCAAATGGAGGAAAGACAGGTTGCAGGTCTCTTTTCAAATACTTAAAGAGAGTTGGCGCCATTATCAGAAAGCAGTAAAAGCTGCTAAATCCAAATACTTTTCTGATATCATAACCTCAAACTTTCACAACTCACGTGTCCTCTTCTCTACCCTAAACTCTGTTCTCCACCTCACTGAACCATCACCTCTGGAAGCCTCGACTGAGCTGTGCGAGAACTTCTTGCATTTCTTTTTGGAAAAGATTGACCACCCGGGCTCTCATTTCCCCTCCAACTTATGACCCATCCATCCCACCTCAATCTGTAGCTCTATTTGACCATTTTGAACCCATCACTCTATCTTCTATAGAGCAGGTCATGTGCAGCTTGAAACCTTCTGGTTCCCCCTTTGATGTGGTCCCCCCTCGACTACTAAAGGAGGTTTTTCCTACTCTAGGTCTGTCCATTCTTGCTATAGTAAACAGTAGTTTATCCACTGGCGTGGTGCCAAAAACCTTTAAACATACTGCTGTCCAGCCTCTCCTGAAAAAAACAAACCTTGACCCCTCAGTCGTATCCAACTTCTGGCCTGTCTCCAAACTCCCATTTGTTTCTAAAATACTGGAGAAAACAGTTGAGTCCCAGTTGATGTGCTTCCTGCAGGATCACGCCATCTTAGAGCTATTCCAATCTGGCTTTAAACCTCTCCACAGCACTGAAACTGCCCTATTCAAGGTTTTTAATTACATCTTCAGATCCACAGATACTGGTGATTCTGTGCTGCTTGTCCTATTGGACCTTACAGCTGCCTTTGCCACCATCGACCATGAGATCCTCATTGCTAGGTTGAAGCAGTGGGTGGGCATCACAGGGTCAGCCCTCAATTGGTTCAGATCCTATCTCACTGACAGATCCTTTTGTGTCTCCATCAAGGATTTTAGTTCTGCAACGACAGAGCTTAAATGGGGGTTCCGCAGGGGTCCATCCTGGGTCCCCTCCTATTCTCTCTATACCTGCTGTCACTTGGTGCTATTTTCCGGAAACACAACATACCCTTTCACTTTTACGCCGACGACTGTCAATTTTACTTCCCCCTAAGACACAATGGTACATGCTCTGTTCAACCTCTGCTCGACTGCCTGCAGACATCAGGGACTGGATGGCTTTAAACTTCTTAAGTTTCAATGAAAATAAGTCTGAAGTCATGTTGTTCCCTCCCAATGACACGATCACAAACCACTGCATCAACCTTTCCACTCTAACCCTGTCAGAAAAACAAAAAGTCAATAATCTGGGAGTGATAATGGACCCTTCCCTGAAACTTAACAGTCACGTAAACATGATTGTTAAATCATGTTTCTTCCAACTGAGGCGGCTGTCTAAACTGAAGCCCATATTGTCCAAAAAGAACCTGGAGACAGTAATACATGCATTCATTACATCTAGGCTTGATTACTGCAATTCACTCCTGTTTGGTATCAGTCAGACCTCCATTGCACGACTACAACTGATCCAGAATGCAGCAGCCCAATTTTTAACCAGTACAGGCAAAAGAGAGCACATTACACCAGTTTTGGCCTCACTGCACTGGCTACCGGTTCACCTTTGAATCCAGTTCAAAATACTCCTGTATGTCTACAAATCGCTTAACAGTTTGCCCCCCCCCCAATCTCTCTGATATGCTACAACCGTATATCCCACCACGTTCCCTGAGGTCAGCAGACCAATTGCTCCTCACAGTTCCAGAAACTCATCTTAAGCGCAGAGGTGACAGGGCCTTCTTTGTAGCAGGACCAAGACTTTGGAACGAGTTACCTCTGCTTGTCAGACTGGCCCCCTCCCTCTCGGTTTTCAAATCCCGTTTAAAAACTCACTACTATTCAGTAGCTTTCAACACCAGAGGATCTGTGTTTTGAACATGTACGCTCCACACTGGTTTGTCGTCATATTTATTAGCTGCATCGTTTTTATGTCTATATTTTTGCTTTACTTCATTTTGTACATTGCTTCGTGTGTTGTCTGTTGTTCTGTCTGTACAGCACTTTGATTGGTCTTGTGGCTGTTTTAAGTGCTCTATAAATAAAATGGTATGGTATGGTATGGTATATCACCAATCAAAGAGGCATTACAGTGGGGGTTTTTTCATACTGACCTTCAGACCTTCATTAAACTTTTTGGTAACGCTTTACAATAAGGTACACAATTTGATTAACTACTAGGGAATGCCTCAGGAACTAATGGGTAGTTAACCAGTATTTTCTGAGGAACACACAGCCAAACCTTATTAGGGGACTACTGGTCAGTTACCTTGTAAATGAAGTGGAACAAGCCAATAACTAATGGGTAGTTACCAAGGAAGCCAAAAAGGAATGAAGCAGGAGCTAACAGGTAATTAACCAGTACTTACTGGGGAACACGCAGCCAAGCATTATTAGGGGTTACCACAGAAACAGAGGAGATATTCTCCTTGTGGGTTCTGAATAAACCCTGCACCAGTGAGGTCACAGCTCGTAATTGTCAAAAACCTGTTTCCTATTGATTACTGGTTTTATTGGATTTTCTCATTTGTAAACCTATTGATGAAAGACATTATCGATTTCATAATCTTGTACTGGTGTCATCTCAATCACTTAATGAGTACCAAATTAATAATTGCCTGACTATTATTTTGTTCACTGATGTAGTGAAACATCATATCAATTCCTTACTGAAGAACCAATCAGTACTTAATCACAACCTGACCATTACCTACTGGTTTGTTCATGTGATAACAAACCAGTAGTCCCCTAATAAGGCTTGGCTGTGTGTTTCCCAGTAAGAACTGGTTAACTACCCATTAGCTCCTGATTTGTTCCTCTTTGGTTTCTTTGGAAACTACCTATTAGTTCTTGGTTAGCTCCTCTTCATTTACAGGGAAACTAACCAGTAGTCCCCTAATAAGGCTTGGCTGTGTGTTTCCCAGTAAGTACTGGTTAACTACCCATTAGCTCCTGATTTGTTCCTGATTCATTCCTGAGGAGTTCCCTAGTAGTTAATCAAATTTTGTGTACCTTATTGTAAAGTGTTACCAACTTTTTTGTTTCTGAAAAGAAACATTTCATCTAACTACAGGGAAGAATCTATTTTAAGCATGATCTAACATATTGTAATTGCCGCCGTACACGTCACACCACCCTATAAGTCACATCAGTCCAAATATATCTGATAAAGTGAAAAACTAACATAAATACATTGCTTCGCCGTATAAGTCGCATCTATTATGCGTCACCGCGGATGCATCGCGTTTGTTACGCGTCACTGCTGACAACCAGGAAGCTTTTGATCACAACTAATTTTTTGCCAGTACTTGACTATGGCGATATTGTTTATATGTGTGCTTCAAACAGTTGTCTACAGTCCTTGAATCCAGTGTACCATTGTGCATTAAGATTTATTACTGTTGTAGCTACCTTACTCATCACTGTGATCTTCATCTTAAAACCAATATGTCTTCCCTGTTTAACAGGCGACATGTGTATTGGAGGCAGCACGGTGGCGCAACTGGTAGAGCTGCTGCCTCTCAGCGAGCAGGTCCCTGGTTCAAACCCCGGTCCAGGGGCCTTTCTGGGTGGAGTTTGCATGTTCTCTCCGTGCATGCGTGGGTTTTCTCCGGGTACTCCGGTTTCCTCCCACAGTCCAAAAACATGCATGTTAGGCTGATTGGTAACTCTAAATTGTCCTTAGGTGTGAATGAGAGAGTGAATGGTTGTTTGTCTCTATGTGGCCCTGTGATGGACTTGCGACCCGTCCAGGGTGTACCCCGCCCCTCGCACAGTGATTGCTGGACATGGGCACCAGTGACCCCCGTGACCCAAAATGGAATAAGCGGGTAAAGAAAATGGATGGATGGATGGATGTGTATTGGATGACTTTGGTTTATAAGTCTCTTATTGACATGCTTCCACATTATTTATGTACTTTTATACAAAGAATGGACAGTAGTTATGCCTTATGCTCTAAGGACTGTTTGCATCTTCATGTTCCCCGTGTGCGAACAGAAAATGGCAAGAAAGCTTTTAGCTTTTCTGCCCCCTCAGCTTGGAATGTCTTGCAAGCTGAATTAAAACGGACAGAACTTGTTACTTTGAGTGCTTTTTGCAATATTTAAAAAAAACGACAAAGGATATCTTGTCAACAGCGCCTGTGTTTTAGATCTTAAATTGTTATTGTTTTAAATAATTATTGCCATTTACTGTTATACTGTATGTTTTATATTTTTATATATTTCTGAGGTCTTCATAATCTTGCTACTTGTTTTGTTTTTTATGATGTGTGCTGTTGCTGCCTGTTCTTGGCCAGGTCACCCTTGTGAAAGAGGTCTTGATCTCAGTGGTTTTTTTAATCTGGTTAAATAAAGGTTTAATAAATAAAAAAAACAGGAAATGTGGGTCGGTGTTGTGTCAAAAAATCGATTGGCTGCCAAATGGCGTCCGCTCGCATGGGAGGACTTTACTAAGAATTTAACGAGATTAACAATATCAACGAAGCCAAGATTCAACTTGTCTGCTGGATTCCTTAGATAGAGAACTTTACTAATTGGCTTTTATGTATGTGAATGTTTCTGTGAAGTGCCCTGAGACAACTTTGTTGTGATTTGGCGCTATATAAATAAACTGAATTGAATTGAATTGAACACTTAAAAACAATTATTTGTTTGCTCAAAATTATAGCAAAGATGTGTCTCAGATGAACTTTTCCTTACAAAATGCACATTAATGGTCAAATCAGCTGCATTTCAAAAGCCAATTTGAAGCTGCGGAGGAACGACTCGCTGTGCATTTCTGCAAAATTTAACAAGACACCCACCCAAAAACAATTATTTGTTTGCTTGACATTATAGTAAAGGTGTGTCTCAATTGAACTTTTCCTTAATACATGCATTTTGATGGTCAAATCAGCTGCATTTCGCCTGGGTGGTGCAGCGAAATGCAGCTGATTTGAAGTTTGCTCAAATACACCGGAGCGAGACAAAAGTGGCTTGGTATGGCAAGCCATGTGTCTCATTAATAGTCACTTTTACCTATTAATGAGACACATGACTTGCCATATTACTCGAGTGCCCTCTAGTGGCTGAAAATGGTAGTGTTAAATATTTTCCATGTCAGAATGAATGAAATCGTCAGATCTCAGCCAAAAATTGGATTAGAAATATGGATAAAAAAAAAACTATATTAGTCGCTTTGGTGTATAAGTCACAGGCATGCTAATTTATGGAAAAGAAAACTGACTTATACAGTGAAAATGATGGTAAATTGGATGTTGAAAACTGGGAGCAGTCACATTGTGTTTAACAGAAGACTTTTTTTTATAATGTCAAATGCACATTTTTATAAAGCAAAAATAAAGTCTTAAAAGTTTCTAAATGGTCAGTAAGGTTTAAAACTAAAGAAAAAACGAGTGTGTTGTTATTTTCAATTAGCTGTGCACAGTATAAGTGCTAAAAGTGCAGTTTTGCAACGCATGCTTAGCTCTATTTACTAGACACTTAACTTATAGATGTTTCTGAGCAAGAAAGACGCTGCACTAGAAGGAGACGTCTGACTGTGAGCCAACAAAGATGCATCTTTAAATATGAGAAATGTGTTGCATCCCTGTGTATCTAAATGATGGCTTGTATTCATGTAGAGGCAGAGCTGACTTGCATAAGCCTATTTTTATGTCCTAATGAACAGTGTCCTCAGTATCCAGTGGAACAGCATGGTGGCTCAGCTTGGGGTCCATCTGTTTGCTTGGATGTCAAAAAGTACTTTTTCTTTCACACAACTTGTAAGTTGGCAGGCATGAAGCAGAGAGCAGTGAAAGACGCCGCTCCCTCCCTAGCACTGTTGCTTTTTCATCTGCTTCCCCCTGCCACCCTTTTGTCCAAGAAAGCATCCCAAAAAGTTGCATCCCTAGAGATTAATATCCAAATGTACATGGATGAAGCGCCAACACATTTTCAATGATCACTGCTGCAATGCCAAATAAATTAATTGCTGAATTTATGCCACCAATCAATCAAACAGCCAATGTTTTCCCACAATACACACACAGAGTGAGATGTTTTTAATTCTCTTCACAGCCCCCTGAGTGTGCAGAGGGCAGGCTTGGGGCTCACCAACAGCCATCATGTAGTCCCAGCGATCCAGGAGACACATGCTGAACTGACGGTCGTTGGGCGTGTAGCCCACATCGATGAGCGCCAACTTCCTGTCTGGGTTCTGACAGACAGCAGATGTCCAAGCCACCAGGAACCAGCAGACGATGAGCAGGATGATGGCCAGTAGGCGTAACACTCGCCAGCTGGTCATATAGGGGATCCTCTGAGCCGTGCGGGACAGGAATACCTTCAGCACCCTGTGATGAAAATAATAATGAAGCAAACAAAGAAAACACAGAAATAATGAAAGCAACTTTTGTAAAGCTCAATAAAACTAAAAAGATTTATTCATAATGAGTGTTTTCTTTACTCTCGAAACTTGAAACATTATCCTGAAATACACTGAATTTAATAAGATAAACTTTTTTTTACACCCCTGGACTCATATTTAAACTCCTACATTGTCCACACCAGAGAGAAAACTGAGCAAAATAGTCTAAACTTATTTTATCCTCATAGTGCAAGCAAAATAATGACTGAGTACAGTTATTGACTTAGTAGTAATCCTGCTAATCTCTGGATCCTCATCAAAGAACGTTGGTTACGTACTGTAACCCCAGATTCTATGAGTATAGGTGTAGCCCTTTAAGGCTGTCACTGATGGGTTTATCCCGATATGCGAAGCGTTGAACTGAAAAATTTAGTCCACACCCACCTGCTGTGTGGGCCCCACCCGGTCCGTATAAATTACGTTAAGAGCGGGAAATCGGCTCCCACAATAGCTTTTTCTTCAGCCATTTAGGAGCCAGTGAGTCCCGACGCTTAAAGGGCTACGCCTATACTCATAGAATCTGGGGTTACAGTACGTAACCAACATTCTATTTCGTATAGGCTTCGCCCTTTAAGGCTGTCGCTGATGGGTTAAGGGCGAAGCGGATGTTGTCCTCGCCTCACTGGGTCCATTCGAACACCGTATGAAGCAGAAGCTTGCCCAAAAAACGTCTTGTCACTCAGCTCCCCATGTGCGTAATTACGCATTGCGTAATTATGTGTGCCATGCGCAGACACATGTTGTGTAACTATGCGTTCTGAATGCATGAACGCCCCGGAAACTTCAACGGGGAGGGGGAAAAAAATGCTTAAAAGAGCCATGAACCAACCGGTTTACGGCTGAACAGTATGAACAGATTAATAATAATAGGAGAACTGATTATTAATCAAATTAACTGATTTGTAACAATAGTCGTGAACTAATTAGTGACAATAGAACCAAAATAACAATCACAACTTGAGATTGATAACAACATCTCACACTGTAATGCATGCAGACAGATGTGAGTAAAACGGGGTTCCATGAAACAACAATATTCATTCTGTAACACTAAAGACAGAATGTGTCATGGAACGAACCGTCACATCACGTAGATAAAAGCGAATGAATGAGCAGGGTGTTGACCACACGGCCGCAGTGCAAAATGTCCTGCATTGTCATGCCATTATGCAAGGCAGTCGAAGATGCGATACCCCTGGTCGAGTGTGCTCTGAGGTTGACAGGAGGCTCTAAATCTGATGCTCTGTAGGCTTCAGAAATGGCCTCACACAGCCAGTGTGACAAGGGCTGGGTGGATAACGGGCGACCTGCAGATGCATCTCTATAATGAACAAACAAATGTTGACGCATTGCAGCTGTGCGCGCTATGTAACACGTCAACACCCACAACGGACAGAGAAGATAAAAAGACGCTACTTCTTCTGATCTGGGGGTGGGGGGGAACTCCTCCAATGATATCGCTCTTGATTTAAAAGAGCTCATGATGTTTTTAGGCATAAAAGCTGGGTTTGGTCTTAAATCAGCTGAGCTGCCATCAGCCTGAATTCTAAGACATGACGGAGCGACAGGCAGATAAATCACTCACTCTCTTAGCGGATGTTAAAGCCAGCAGCAGGGCTGTTTAAAGAGACAAGAATTTAAGTGGAACCTGATCCAGAGGCTCAAATGGAGCTTTGATCAGGACCTGCGGGACCAGTGTTAAATCCCACTGTGGAACAAGTGGGTGTGAAACAGGCCTGCGTCTCTGTACACCTTTTAGAAAACGCTTCATCAGTGGATGATTAAAAACTGTTCTGTCTCCGAACCCTTTGTGGCAGGAAGAGATGGCTGCAGTGTACGTTTTAATCGTGTTGGACGCCAAATTTCTGTCCATAAGCTGTTGTAGAAAGGACAGCATGCCACCAAGTGGACATGAGGTGGCCTCTACACCTTTCTCTGTACACCAGCGCTGAAAAGCTGTCTGTTTTGATGTGTACAGCACAGTGGTAGATGCAGCACGTGAAACCTGAATTGTGCGCACTACATGCTGTGGGAGACCCATCCTCTCCAAGCGGATCCGTTCAGCGGCCAGACCCACAGGTGCTGGCCTATTTCTGGGTAAATCCTGGTCGCTCCTCCTGCCTGGAGGATAGCGTCCTCCCTCCACGACAGTTTCCACGGGTGTCCCGACAGCAGGCGTTGCAGGACTGGGAACCATGGTGCGCTCACGCGTTTTGGGGCCACCAGGAGAGCTGTCAATCCCTCCTCCTGAACTTGGTTCAGGAACCGTAAAATCAGAGGAGGTGGAGGAAAACGCATACAGAAGCATTTTGGGCCATGGGCTGTGAGCAAACACATCCACCTCCAGCGGTGGTTCGTCCCGCAGGCTCAAAGAAAACCACAATTGACACTGAGCGTTTTCTCGTGTCGCAAACAGGCCCACAGCTGCTAATTCAATCTGAGTCAAAATGTTCCGTCAGAGGATGATTAAAGGTTGTTCTGTCTCCGACAACTTTGAGACAAGAAGAAAACATGGCTGTAGCATACAATAATCGTGCTGAACATCAAATTTCTGTCCATCGACTGTTGCAGAAAAGGATAGCATGTCATCCAGTGGACATGAAATAGCCTCTACGCCTTCTCTGTACACCTTTTACAAAACGTTTCATCAGCGGATGATTAAAGCTGTTCTGTCTCGAAAATTTTGTGACAAGAAGAGATGGCCGCAGTGAACGTTTTACTCGAGCTGAATGCCAGATCTCTGTCCATCAGCTGCTGCAGAAAGGACGACACACCACCTAGTGAACATGAAATTGCCTCTACACCTTTCTCTGTACAGCAGCGCTGAAAAACTGACCACTTGATGTGAACAGCGCTGTGGTGGTTGCAGCACGTGAATCCTGAATCGTACGCACTACATCTTGAGAGAGATCCATCCTCTCAAAAGGATCCGCACAGCGGCCAGACCACAGGTGCTGGCCTATTCTGATTAACTCCTGATCGCTCCTCCCGCCTGGAAGAGAGCGTCCTCCCTCCATGGCAGGTTCCACGAGCGTCCCGATAACAAGTGTCGTAGGCCGGGGAACCATGATGCGTTCATGCACTTGGGACAGAGGAGCTGTCAGTCCCTCCTCCAGAGCTCAGTTCAAAAAACTGTGATATCAGAGGGAGAGAGGGAGGAGAAGAAGCATTACGACCACAGGCTGTGAGCATACACGTCCACCCCTAGTGGTGGATCGCCCCGTGGCTCCACGATAATTATAGTTGACATTGAGCATTCTCTCGTGTTGTAACACGTCCACAGCCGCTCGCAGGGTTTCTGCCGTGTCTGAGCCATAGCTCTGGGTGGAAGGTCCCAGGTCCCCGTGCCGCAAAGGACCGTCTTTGGACATCACATCCATCCCCTGTTCAGAATACATGATATGTACCCTACTCCAATGGAGAGCAGGTTGGGTGTGCCCCACACAGCATCTGTCTCACAATGTGGCACATGGGTTGAGCGCATACATCTCCTGCTAGTTATGTATGCAACAGTCACTTGCTGTCTGTGTGAATCAAAAACCCTGATGATTCCGCAGCTCAGAGGCAAAGTGTTGAATCACATTAAAAAAAAAACGTGCGATACTCCAAAAACATTTAAATGAGCTGCTGTGTGGAGAACCACAGCGCCCCCACAGCTCGTTAAATTTGTGTGCCTTTGTGAAGTCTGGCATGTGTGACGTAGGTCTGCTGACGGAAACAGCTGATATCACTCAACCGGTTCACGTGAATTGCACTGCTGCCACCTGTCTGTACAAACTGCTCAGCAGTAGCAGATGTCCAGATAAAGCAGAATTCTCCTCCCTGCTCTGTGCGGCAGCTGCAGAGTGGCTCGGGCGCATTAATGGAATGTCGTTTCTCACAGTTCACAGTTGACAAATCTAGAATAAATCTCATATTCCCGGTTTGTTGGGACCAAGGAGTGATGAGAGAGGAACCCTGCATATTCCTCTCCTTCTGAGACTCTGGAAATTACATTTAAATCAGAATTTCCTGAGCTTCTGCGAGAGGGGACGAGATCTGTTCTAGAAATGACAGAAAACATCATTAGAGTTCCTCCGCACCGGTGTTTGAGCTGTACTGTATCGTGAATCCCCGGATGAAAAACGGTTCGCCTATCCGTCTGGAGCGCGCGCTCATTGCCACTCATTATAAAGTTATCAAGCGGGCATGCATTGATGCTGTGAACTCACATGCATGCTGATGTGAGCTGGTGCGCGCTGAAAGAGAAAGAAAAAATGCGCGCCCCCGAGCATGCAAATCGTTGTGCGTTTGTCGATGCTGCAGGACGCAGCTCATGTGTTGTGCTCACGTTGTGTGCAGCTACTCCGTGTAAACGCTCGAGGAGCGGGTGCACGTATGAGCCGACGTGCCCTGAAGAGTCGTGTGTGCGCACCCTCATTCATGAGACGCCTTAAGCGAGGATTGCTGCGGGAGCGCGCGTTTGACGCTGGTGCAGTCAGGAAGCAGCGCGTGGCATCAGTGGGGCGAGGTTACCACTGGGCTCGGTCTGCAGAAACACGTTCATTCTTGGCTGTGAATCACGTGAGCTTTTGAGTGATTCCATGAGCTGCGGTATTAATTCAGAAAACCTTCTTCGAGGATGAAGGAGCGGAGCCGCTGTGAGGCTTGTGAAACTGTTGATGCCGCGGGAGCGCGCGTTTGACACCACTGCGATGAAAACGTGTGTCGCTCCTGCCGAGAGCGAGATACGTTACTGGGCTCGTACCGCGGTCTCACGTTAACGTTGACGTGAACGGCGGGCGCTGAGAGCTTCGTGCGCGCTTTCATAACGCAGAGCCTTATAGGTGAAGGCTGCTCGTGCTGCGGGAGTGCGTGTTGGCACCGCTGGCAGTGAATAAAACAACCTTAAAAGGCTCATTCGTGATGAGTGTGTGTGATGGGGCCGCTTGTCAGATCATCCGTGCTGACAGCCTGGCTAAAAGACACTTCATCATAAAATGATGTTTATTCCACATCTTGTGTCATCAACACACCTCCAGCAAATCGACACCTGGTTATCTTCCCTTGAGCTCTGTTTGTTGTCCTAGAGGGCCCCCTGTTGGCGGAGTCCGGGAAAAATTGAACTTCCAGATGCCGAGGACGTCTGACGGGAGGGGCTGGCGTAGCAGAGCTGGGGAGGCGTTGTACAGGCGTGGAGCATCTTAAAATGATCTCTCGCTGATGAAAAGGCCCTCCAACAAAAGCTTCTGCAGCTCTCCTGAGAGGGAGGTGGAGTGATGAGCCAGGAGAACCTCTGGGACCTCGTTCTCCGTTGGGGATGACGTCAGCTGCCCTGCAGATGGAGCGTATTGCAGGGGCGTATTGCAGGGGCGGATAGCTTTGTTAGCGAACAGCCGCTACGAGAGCGGAGCGAGCCGAAGGTCAGAGGGCCCACCGTCTCTTCCCGCCTCTGAACGTGTACGCCAACAGCGTAACGTGTTGTTCGCTGCGGCCGTCTGGAACGCATGCTGGTGAGCTCAGTTGGAAAGCGGTGTCACCGTCTGGGTTACGCTAACCGGAGGCACGGGACGCTAGTCCACCTGGACATCTTGCTCCGATGAAGCCTCCGTCAGGCTCGGCTCCAGGGGGCACTAAGGGAATTTCCGCTCGGTGAACCCCTGCTCTGGAAATGGGTGCAGACTGTGGAGACCGGCCCCCCAATCTACCAGGAAAACCAGCTGTGGCCTCGCCCGTAGGACGTCCTGATGGGAAAACGAGGCCAGATGGATCAAGACGGTGAGCCGGAATGGAACCTAGAAAAAACAACCTTCCCGCCGGATCATCCGAACTGGCGGGAAAGGCGTGGGACATAAAAAAGGGTCCCTTCGTGTCAGCCGCCTCCTGGGTTATGCCGGGCAACCCCAGAGGGCGCCATCGATCGGGAGCGGTGTGATCGCCGATGCGAAACGAGGTGGGATGAGGTGAGCATTCACTCAGCCCCCCTCCACCGACAATACACTCTCCAGGAGGGAATGAGCAGCGGGGGCTGCAGCTGAGCACCGCCTGTCCCGGAGGAACCATCCGATTTGCTCCGAGGGTCGGCGATAAGAGGAAAATTACAAGATGGCGTTGTCCAGCGTGTAGCGACCTGTCACTGAGAAATATTCCTCGGCGCTTACCTTGAAACAAGACTGTTCGTCTGTTTCTCCTCGGGGAGGATAGCTCACCGGGACGACCAAAGGTCGACGTGCCGGGCCAAGCATTCTTAACAAATGTTGGTCATCTACACAACTTTCCTTCTTCTTCTTCTTCTTCTGACAGTGCTATTAGCTTGCTGAAGAAAAAATGGGAGCCGATTTCCCGCTCTTAACGTAATTTATATGGACCGGGTGGGGCCCACACAGCAGGTGGGCGTGGACTAAATTTTTCAGTGCAATGCTTCGCATATCGGGATAAACCCATCAGCAACAGCCTTAAAGGGCGAAGCCTATACGAAATAGAACATAATGTCAATATAAAACTAAGCACCCTTTATCAATTTAAATATTTGATGCCTTATGATTAGTTAAAATGACCAAAATGCACTATTCCCAGGTTAAAAGGCAATGATAGTAGCTTGTAGAATCAGTCATGTAGCAACAAATGTATACTGCTGCATCCTGAAGCAGCATTTAATTCAGGATGTGCTCTGAATTTTGGATTTTAAACACCTCAGATCCTTTTGTTTCAGTCTAGATTTGCTGTTTTACTTTAAGTCACTGCAGCATTTGGATGATCTAATTTGGTCCGAGCCTTACATGTTGGGCTGCAGGCCTCACCTCTGACTCAAGAATATTTGGGTTTAGAAAGGAGGTTGACTCAGTGGCTGCAAGGTGTTCAAGTCATGTGACTCCATCGGCCATCGCCACCGCTGTGCTGAAAGTATGAGGCATTTGTGCAGATCTGCTGAGTCTCACCTAACTTCTTCACCTTCGTCTCAATTGTGTCAATTAAATTGCTACAGAAACATTTGTGGTTTGTTCAAATGTACTGGTAACTTTGCAAATCTCAAAAGGAAAGGCTTTCTCCTTCCTAACAAGTCCCATCTCAGTTCGGTGAAATGTTCAAAGCACCCACATCCAGATTAACATATCGGATCTAAAAAGCCAGATGATCTTATGATTTTAAGTGGTCTTAATCAAAAGTTCTCAGAGTTGTAAGAAGGTTTTCAAAGATTTTCTTTGGACTTTGGCTGATTTTTTTTGTTCTTTTTCTGCTCGTTCCTCGATCGTGACAGCATATTGTTCAACGTGTCTTTAAAAATGAAAGAAAGTGGACAAGTGTATGATGAATGACCAGGCATCAACACTGTGCCAAGTAGATGAATAGCAAATAAAAAATATGAATAAAATCCAGAAAATACCTGATGGGACCTAAAATATCCATCATATTTAATGTAATAAATTTGGTATCAGGAATAGCTTTTTGGAAATCAATTTGTTGGTGCTTAAATACAATTTTATTTGTCACACTGTTAAACAAATTGTGACCTTTTAAGCTGGCAATAAAATAAGATTCTACTTGTTTTATTTTAAAGACCATATTTAAAACCAGATAACACTTTCTTTGTCTGAATGCTTCAGTTTGGAGTTGACAAACAGACTTTATAAACATAAAACTGCAAAAGTTCATAAAAATACATTACAATTTCAGAAAAAATGAAGAATTATTGATAAATATTATTTCAAAAGCTTATAGGAAAGTCTGACTCCTTGGAAGCAAATATATATAAAAAGGATATCTGAAAACTTTTGGACCTAACTTTTTTTTTCTATCATCAGCCTTAAGTTTTTTTTTATGGCAGCTCAGACTTTTAGAATTTGAGATGAGCTCTTAGGGTTTTGCCAGTGCAGATCAGCAGCATAAGCAAAATACTGTGACGAGTATTAAAGTCCTCTCAGACACATGGTGCTATTCTTAGGCTTTGCCCTTCACGCAGATTGATGAAATTTCCACTGTGCTCCCCACTAATGAGGCCCCCGCCCCATCAAACATTGATCCATGCAATAAGTTAACATCCATTTCTAAGGCTTTACTCAGGTACATCTTGATCAGTATCTCCGGTTTGACCGATTCACCTGTCAAACCCGACACGCGTGCCAAATTTTAGATTTAACACAATAAATACAGCTCGCTCCCCATGTCTTCACACGAGGACTTAACTCAATATAACTTTATTTAAAAAAGTAAATGTACTGTGTTTGACGCCGTATGCATCACTTCACCGTATAAGTCGTATCTATTATGCGTCACCGCTGACAACCTGGAAACGTGAGCTGGTGTTGTGCCAAAAATCGATTGGCTGCCAAATGGCAGCAGCGGGGGAGCAAGCACGGGAGAACTTTAACAAGAATTTAACAAGATTAACACTTAAAAACAATTATTTGTTTGCTTGAAATTATAGTAAAGTTGTGTCTCAGGTGAACTCTTCCTTAATAAATGCACTTTGATGGTCAAATCAGCTGCATTTCGCCTGGGCGATGCAACAAAATGCAGCTGATTTGATGTTTGCTCCAGGAGTTTCGGAGCAAGAAGAAGGTGGCTTGGTATGGCAATCCAAGTGTGTCATTAATAGCCACTTTTACCTAGTAATGAGACACTTGGCTTGCCATAATGCTTGAGGGCCCTCTAGTGGCTGAAAATGGTAGTGTTCAATATTTTTCATGACAGAATGAAGGAAATCGTCATATCAGCCAAAAATTGGGTTAAAAATATGTGAAAAAAACATATATTAGTCGCTTTGGTATATAAGTCGCAGGGCATGCAAATTTATTCAAAAAGGTGCAACTTATAAAGCGAAAAATACAGTAATTCAGCATTTACATCTACATAGACAAATGTATAATACCTGTACAGTTTAAGAGTAAGTGTCCCGTAGACAGTGGCGAAACCGAGCAGTCGAACCCAACGAAGCAAAATGCAGCGGAAAACACTTGGCTGAAAGTAGAGAATCCCAACCTGCAAAAAAAGAAAAGGAAAATTAATTAAATAAAGGCTGCAAAAAGAAACACTAGGCAAGTCAGAGAGCCACACACAGCGAGTGTTTTCTATTTAAGTGATAATGGGAGTTCTATTCTTAGGGAATTGAATTTACAGTCACGGGAAGTTGCTGCCTCATTGTGCTCTCAGCAGATGGCTCCATAAAGAGTGAAGTAATCTTATTTAAATGTTTGTTCTAACTGCTTTAATTTAGCTTGTAGTGTGGCACAACCCGATTCACGCAGCGAGCTTTGACCTGAACGCTCATGATCATGCGCCATCATTGACTTGTTTGTTGTGCACGTTGCATACACTTTACATTCATTAAATGTACAGTAAAGCCAATTTATAGCATAAAGATGAACGTCAATGTGCATTCTTAAGTAAAAAAAAAAAAAGAAAAGTTGAACGCTTTCAACTTACAAGAAAACATGAGCAGATGGAGTTTGCTCAGCTGTCATGCACTGGTTGCTAAATGAGCAGCTGTTGGAGCTTTTAATGCAAGAATATACGTTGTTTTGTCTCTAACTAAGAAATATGGTTGAAAGGTCTGAGCTTTTTAAGAGCTTCTTTTTATCCTGAATTTTTAAAAGATGAATCACTACAAAAGCAGCCCAACCTTAATGCCTAAAAGATCCTGAGTAGACACTAAAATAGAGTTCTTGCTGCCCTGGTGATGTTTTTAGACAAACATCAAGTGGCTGCTACATGGTTACAGACACAGTCAGGGTTCACTAAAATCAATGTTTCATTGGTATAAAACAGTGAAATATTAGATAGTCTAAATATCTCTGAGTTAATTATTTACCAAAGGAGCATAATTTTAATGTATTTTATATAGAAATCTACAGCTGGTTAAATTTTAAAATTAAAATTCCAGGCTGAGGAGGAGAAACTGCTTGTTTTAATAAAATTAACTGGACTGAATTGAATTTTCAAACAGGAGTTTAAAATGAGACGAGCTTTACTGCTAGTCGGGGTCTCGCAAACTCACTTTTTACATTGTTACTCTGGCAGAAATAAAATAACCTTACAGGAAGTTCCTCAGATTGAACCAGGTGTGCTATAGCTAGCTGCTAATGCTTGCAAATAACTACCAATAAAAATAACCTCGTAATGAAAAAAACTGATGTCAACTAAAAGTTTTATGAGATAAGGATTGCATGAACCACCAATAAGGTTTAAAGATCAAAGTTTCTTTTTTTTAAATAGCTTACTATCCATTGGCTCATCAATTTGGTAAGAATCAAACTCAATTTCTCCAAACTAAGGTCAAACAAACAGCCATCTACAACAGGTAAGATACTATTTATTAATAACCACTGAACACACCTCTAATAATCAAACTACATTCTCATGTTTTCAGGCTTTATGTAGCATGTTGAGCTTGTTGTGAATGTTGAGATTTAGAGCCGATTCTGTGCTGAAACTAAGTTTTTTTGTGTCACGGAAAAATATCAGAACAGGTAGATCAGTAAGAAGCATCAAACGTTTTCCAAAAGCTAATCAGTTGTAGATGTCCAACCAAAATGCACTTTCTGAGACTTTTATTAAAATCAATCTTTGTGGTTCATAAGTGATTTTGCTAACAGACAGACAAACACACTCACAGTATGGATACTACTGCTATGATCACAAATAGAAACTAAATCAGTGGCCATATAACTCACTTACAGAGTAATTTTAAAGAACAATCTCATTTTATAACACAAAAATAAGAAAATTCATAACTTGCTTTAGTCATAAGAGTTCAAATTAGCATTGGCATTTCAGAACCATCCTTGGCATTGCTTATAAAAAAACGTTCTGAGCCTGCTAACATCACTGACAGCCTGCCCTTGAGACACAGACGAGGCCATCCACCCATGTTTGAACACCCTGCCACAGAACACTGACGGCCTTCCAGTGACATGAAAAGAGCCAGAAACAAACAAAGATGGAAACAAACATCTGAGGCAACATAATTATCTGTTCACTGCAGATGTGCAGTGATTTCCCCTGTGGGATTGTTAATGTAATCGGATTAGCTGAAGCATTAATACGTTCCCTCAGGCAGCGGTGAAGACGCAGGCGTGTGGATATTAGCGCTCGCTAAGTTTGAGTCAGTTAAGTGACGCGGAGGACCCGGGGGAGGAACGGAGGCCTAGATCCTCATCTGCCGGCCGACCAAACGCAAACCGAGTCAAAAAAGCAGCTTGACTCAGCTTTTTACAGGAAATATGGTACGCAGGAAATAATGAAAGCAGGTGATTCACAGATAACATTTTGCATCATTATTGGAGACTGAATCACACACAGCCACTAGATTATAATGTTCAACTAATGTTTTAACAACATAAAGACTTCAAGCCTGTAAAATATTAGCAGGTCTGACCGGCACTGAGGCGCTGACGCATGTTTGAGTCCACAGGGGCACGAGAGGGTCCAGGAAGTAAAAATGCACCAGGAGCTGGCTCAGTTGACGGCTGTTTGGTGTTTGATACAAGAAGGAGGCATCATCGGCACAAGGTTAGCTTTAATTTACCTACATAAACTGTCCCAAACACTTAGCTTCATCGAGCGGTTTGACTTTTGAAGCCAAATTGTTAAAAAAACATATATGAAGTAGCTTAGTGTGTTTTTTGTATTAGAATTAGAAAATTAGAAAGAGTTATTCATTTTGTTCTGTTATTTGAAGATTATTATGATTGAAATAATTGTTTGAAAAAAGGGGCAGATATAATAAGATTTTTTATTCTTTCTGCTGCCTTTCATTTTTAATCTCTTGTATCTTTTTTATATTGTTATGGAATTGTTTTGTACTTTTTTAAAATGAATAAACTTTATACCATACCATACTTTTGTTTCTACAAGTGTCAAATCACCGATGGAAATGTTTGGCGTGAAGTTATTTAAGACAGTCAAAATGTGGAGAGAAAATAATTACTGTATTTTTTTAACTATAAGGCGCACTTAAAATCCTTTAGATTTCTCAAAAATTAAAAGTGAGCCTTATAATCCGGTGCGCCTTATGTATTACAGTAGGCCCTCGCTACTTCGCGGTTCGTTTATCGCAAATTCACTCTATTGCAGTTTTTCAAAACAAGATTGGACATGACACACAGCTGGCTGACTGATGGATGAGCCGCACGATCGGCATGAAATTTTCATTTAAAATGAACTATTTTAAATTATTTTGCACCTGCTGCACATTTTTGCAGCCCAGAGCTGCAGATAAAGCTTCCTCCTGCAGCTTTGTGCAGCCCTTACTGCTGCAGGATAAGCTTCCTGCTGCAGCTGATCAGATGTTCAGCTAGAGCAGAGAAGTGGGCGTGGCCAAGAGCGCTTGCAGGTGGCAAATAGCAGAGGAGGCAGGGAGCTGAAATCATGACATTCTGTGCTCTTTTAGAGCGTTTAGAGTTTAGAAACATCAATCCATCCATCCATTATCTTTACCCCCTTATTCCATTTTGGATCACGGGGGTCGCTGGTGCCCATGTCCAGCAATCACTGTGCGAGGGGCGGGTACACCCTGGACGGGTCGCAAGTCCATCACAGGGATATATATTTATATAAATAATAAAATAAACTACTACTACTTGCACAAACCGGATTCCAAAAATGTTGGGACACTAAACAAATTGTGAATAAAAACTGAATGCAATGATCTGGAGATGGCAAATGTCATTATTTTATTCGTAATATAACATAGATGACAGATCAAAAGTTTAATCTGAGTAAATGTAACATTTTAAAGGAAAATATGTTGATTCAAAATTTCACAGTGTCAACAAATCCCAAAAAAGTTGGGACAAGTAGCAATAAGTGGCTGGAAAAAGGAAATTGAGCATATAATGAACAGCTGGAATACTAATTAACACTAATAAGGTCAATTGACAACATGATTGGGTATAAAAAGAGCTTCTCAGAGTGTCAGTGTCTCTCAGAAGTCAAGATGGTAAGAGTATCACCAATTCCACCATTGTTGCACAGAAACATAGTGCAGTAATACCAGAATGGTGTTACCCAGCATAAAATAGCAAAGACTTTTAAGTTATCATCATCAACTGTGCATAACATCATCAAAAGATTCAGAGAATCTGGAACAATCGCTGTGCGTAAGGGTCAAGGCCGTAAAACTCTACTGGATGCTCGTGATCTCCGGGCCCTTAAACGTCACTGCACCTCAAACAGGAATGCCACTGTCAAGGAAATAACAGAATGGGCTCAGGAATACTTCCAGAAAGCATTGTCAATGAACACAATCCACCGTGCCATCCGTCGTTGCCAGCTGAAACTCTACAGTGCAAAGGGTAAGCCATTTCTAAGCAAGCTCCACAAGCTCAGACGTTTGCACTGGGCCAGGGATCATTTAAAATGGAGTGTGGCAAAATAGAAGACTGTTCTGTGTTCAGATGAGTCACGATTTGAAGTTCTTTATGGAACACTGGGACGCCATGTCATCCGGACCAGAGAGGACAAGGATAGCCCAAGTTGTTATCAACGCTCCGTTCAGAAGCCTGCATCACTGATGGTATGGGGTTGCATGAGCGCTTGTGGCATGGGCAGCTTGCATGTCTGGAAAGGCACCATTAATGCAGAGAACTATGTTCAGGTTCTAGAACAACATATGCTCCCATCTAGACGTCCTCTCTTTCAGGGAAGACCCTGCATTTTTCAACACGATAATGCCAGACCACATTCTGCAGCAATCACAACATCATGGCTACGTAGGAGAAGGATTGGGGTACTGAAATGGCCAGCATGCAGTCCAGATCTTTCACCTATAGAGAACATTTGGCACATCATAAAGAGGAAGGTGCGACAAAGAAGGCCCAAGACGATTGAACAGTTAGAGACCTGTATTAGACATGAATGGGAGAGCATTCCTATTTCTAAACTTGAGAAACTGGTCTCCTCTGTCCCCAGACGTCTGTTGAGTGTTGTAAGAAGAAGGGGGGATGCCACACAGTGGTAAAAATGGACTTGTCCCAACTTTT